GCCACCGGCACGAAGGGACCTGGCACGGCCGGTGTCCCCACAGGCAGGGCCAGCAGAGCTGCGGCCGTGGGGCTGGCACTCATTGTACCCCCGGACCTGGGGCTGGCACTCGCTGTACCCCCGGACCTGGGGTGTCATTTCCTGTACCCCCGTACAGGATTGGCACCTGCTGTACCCCCGGACCTGGGGTGTCACTCGCTGTACCCCAGGGCTGGCTCAGCCGGGAGAGCCACCCCGCTGCTGTCGCCACCCCTCGCCCTGACCTCCCGGAGGGACGGCGGCACCGCTCCGACCCCCAGCCCGGTTGAGGCCGGCGGGTGACACAGGGACAAGCCCACCCCGGCTCCAAAACACAACAGCACCGAGCGCCAGCTCTCCCCAAAACTTGACCGAGCCCTTATCTCCCCAACCGCGAGGACGGCGGGGATCCCCCCAACCTCCCCGCCAGGACCAAGCTCCGGCTGCCCCGGGAGAAACCTCCAAGCTCCGGCACACCTTCGGGAGAGAGGGCAAAGTTGCGCTGGGTTGGGGTCAGGGGGTCAGGTACCTTCCAGCCGGCGGAGCTGTTGCTGTCTCCTTTATCCTTAAAGTAGGGGACGTATCGCACCATCCAGTCGTAGATCTGGGAGAGGGTGAGGCGCTTCTCCGGCGAGCTCTCGATGGCTTTGGTGATGAGGTCGGCGTAGGAGAGGTTGCCCCAGGCGTTGCGCCGGGAGGTCTTGGCCTTGCGGAGCTGCCCCACATCCGCGCCGGGGGGCGGCGGGGGAGCGGCGGCGACTCTGCGCTCCACCGGGGCCGCCGCGTTCTCGGCTCCGTCCCCGCCGGCCGCCAGCGCCGGGGTTCCCCCCGCGCCCCCATCTTCCTCCTCCGCCAAGTCGGGGTGGGGGAGAGGCCAAGTGCAGGAGCGGGGACGGCTCTGCGGCTCGAAATCCGGGTCGATCTCCACCTGATGCGCCTGGAGCTTTTCTTCCATGGTCGCCTCCCCGCTGCCACCCCACAGCCCCCCCCGGAGTTACGGGCGGTTTCCACCCAAAAAAAAAAAAACCCAAACACACAACAAAAAACCCAAAATCTCGAGAGGGAGAGGAGTGCGAAGGCGGGCTCCCTGCCCGGCTGGAGGGGAGAAGGGAAGGAGGAGCCGCTCGGTGCGCGGGCGCTGGCGGGGGGAGCCCCGAGTCCGGGGGAGCCCCGGCTCCGGCGGCTCTAGGAGGCGGCTGTGCCCGGCGCCGCGCCGGGAGCGCCGAGCCGGGGCGCACGCCGCATGGTCCTCGGCCGCCTCTCCAGTCCGGGCCGAAGCGGGGGAGTGGTTTTTGGTTCGGATTTGGTTTTGGTTTGGTTTTTAGCAGCCGCGGAGCTCCGGAGCGGTTCCCGGCTCGGTAGCCAGCGGGGCGGCTGCGGGCGGGCAGGGCGCGGGGGCGGCCGCATCCATCGGGCTGGCGGCGCGCTCAGGCAGCAACAGATGAACCGGAGCGAGCGGCGGCGGGCGGCATCCTCGGCCGGGGACCGGCGGGCTCCGGGGCCGGGCGGCGGGGCACCTAAGCGGGGAGAAGCGGGACGCAGATAGCGGGGAGCCCTCGGCGCGGCGGGCGCAGTCTCCCGCGGGCGGCCCGGCGCTAGGTCCGGCGGCGCGGCGGAGCCATGCTGGCGGCGGCTCGGCGGCCACGCCCCCCCGTCCGCTGATTGGGTGGGCGCCGGCGGGACGCTCCGCGCGCGGGGGGGATGAATGGGGGGAGCGGCCCCGCCCCGCGGGTGACGTCACGAGAGCCGGCTGCATCCGCGCGTCACCACGGGCAACGCGGCCGCGCGGCGGGACACGCCCCTTTACTACGGGACACGCCCCCGCCCGCCTCGGCCACGCCCCCGCAGCGCGGCCGGGGAGACCCCGAGTGGGCCCCGCCCACCGCCGCGCAGCCACGCCCCTCGAGGGAACACGCCCACTTCGTGCGAGACACGCCCCCCTCCCACGTTGGGGGCGATCCCGACCTGATCCCCATTCCCATCCCGATCCCATCCCCATCCCATCCCATCCCAATCCCGATCCCCATCCCATCCCATCCCATCCCATCCCAATCCCCATCCTGATCCCATCCCATCCCGATCCCCGTCTCCTGGGGCCTGTCCTGCCGCAGCCCGCGGGCCCATCAGCCGGGTGCCTTGCCGGTGCTGTCCCATCCCATCCCATCCCAATCCCGATCCCGATCCCATCCCAATCCCCATCCCGATCCCATCCCATCCCCATCCCCATCCCCGTCTCCTGGGGCCTGTCCTGCCGCAGCCCGCGGGCCCATCAGCCGGGTGCCTTGCCGGTGCTGTCCCCACGGGCACGCGGTGCCCCAGGGCCCGGCAGGACAGCGCTGTTTCCCCGGCCCGGGCGCGCTGCCCAGCCGCACACAGCCCGGCACCCACGAGGGTGCAGACCCCTCGTCGTGCACCCACCCAGCACCCACTGGGGACACTCGCCTGACCCCTGCCCCTGCATGACCCCACTGCCTGCACCCCAGCATCGCCCTCCTCTCGCATCCCCTGGGGACACACCCCTGGCACAGCGCTGGGGACAGCGCTGTCTGCAGCAGCCCTGTGTCCCCACCTTTGTCCCTTCCCCACACCTCCGGGACCCTCCTGCCTCACGCTCTGCCCGTCCCCACTGCAGACCCGTGCCTGCCCACCAGCCATGCCTGGGTAACGCTGTCACTGAGCTCCCCGCATCCTCCTCCTCTTTGTCACCCTCGGTGCCACCAGTTGTTCCTGTGACAGCTCTTTCACGCCACAGTCACGTGCAGCCCTGCTCCTGCAGCCCCATTCCTGGCCCAAAGGGACGGCCTGAGGTTACCCAAGCAACTAAGGAGCTGATGGTTCCAGCCTGGAAGTGCTCGGCCTGACAGCTCTAATAATATAATAAAGTATAATATAATCTAATAGATAGAATATAATGTAATAAATATAATACAATATACAGGCGGGACTTGACAAGTGCTCTGTTTCACAACCCACAGTGACAGTGACGGCTGCACAGGCTCCAGCTGGCCCTGGAGGCTCATCCCAGCAGCCGGGGGCTTGGGGGGCTGTGTTCCCTGACCCCCTGCCAGGCAGCTGGGGACCTGCTGGCCAAGCCCACAGCTCCTGCTGTCACTGCTCTGGGGAGGCTCAGCCAGGCTGGCACCAGAGCAGCCCTCAGGAGAGACCTGACCCCAAATCCCCTGATCCTGAGTGGTGCCCTGTGCCTCTCTCCTCCCCAGAGCATTTCTGCGGGGATCTATCCCAAATTTCCCTGGCTGTGGTTTACACCCCTGACCTCCTTCCTGTGCCCCAGGGCCCGCTGCTCCCTCCTCTCTCCGCAGCCTTTTGCCCACTTGGAGCTGGGGATGTTTTTCCCCTCAGTCTTGCCTTTCTTAGTCAAAACCCTCCCACATTTCTCACTCTCTCCCAGCCTTGTTTTCCCAGGCAGGCTCCCCAGGGCTGAGCCGAGCAGAGGGTCCCAGCCTGCAGAGCCCTTCCCGTGGGTGCCTCTCCTCCTGGTGCTGCTCCGTTCCTCCCACTGCACTTCTCCTGCAGCAGGTGCCTCTCCCTGCCCTCACCCTCAGCCGCCTCAGCCTTGGGGATGGCGCTCAGAGCTCCCTGCCCACGCTGCCAGCTCACCCTGGAGCTTTAGCAGCAGAAACACTCTGCTCTCACTCACCTGCTGCCTCAGTTTCCCCACCTGTGCAGCAGGGCCAGCCCCTCCAGGCAGGCACGGCTGCTGCTGGGGAAGGTGACAGGTTGGACAGCTTTGTGGCTCCTCTCAACCAAAGCTGCTCCCATTCCATCCCATCCCTGGCTTGCCCAAGGCTCATCCCTGACCTCCTCACCATCCCCGGGGATGCAGAGCAGCACATTCCTGGGTGCAGGTGGCCCCATTCCTGCGTGCAAGGCACACCCAGCCAGGGATGCCCGCAGGGGGATGGTGAATGCTCTGCCCCCGGCAGGAACACGGCGCTGGCTCAGCCCCTTCCCGAGCACCTGGATAATTACCACCCACCCTCCTGGCAGCAGGCAGGAGCACCTCCATCACCCCTCCAGCTGCAGCCCCGCTGCTCAGCCACCCCCCGTGGGCACAGACAGGCCAGGGGGCAGAGCTGGGGGGCACCAAGCTGCCACCTCTGTCCCCCGCACCCAGGGTTCCCCTGGTCCCAGGTGCCCGCTGGGGCAGCTGGGGCTCTGTGGGGTAACACCTGGAATTTCAGGGATCTTTCCCTCCTACATTCTCACCTGCTGCTCCAGCCCTGCTTTTCCAGAGGCTGGGATGGGCACAGAGGGCCAGGGAAAGAGCAGAGCAGTGCAACCCCAGCACTCAGTGCAGCAGCAGTGCAGGAGCTGATGGGCAGTTGATGCTGCAGGGTCTGGGTGCACAAATCTCCAATTCCTTGGGAATGGTCACAATCCCAGGCCTGAAAGAGCTGAAACTGAGTCTCCCTCCCCCAGCACTCTGGGCAGAGCCAAGGTTTGATGTCCTCACCTGGTGCTGGTGTCACCTCCCACCCCAGCCCACCAGGCCAGCAGGATCTCCATCTCATTCCCACAACATCCCGTGCATTCCTGTATCCTTCCCAGCCCCTAGACTGGCACCTGGGGGCTGTCCTGAAGCCCCCATCCCCTTCACCATCCCAGCAGCTCTGGGGCCCAGGGCAGAACCCCAAGAAGCAGCAGAGCAGTCCCTGAGTGTCTGCTGGGAGGGGAGGAAGCACCAGAACAGCCCCAGCAGCGTGAGAGGAGCCTGCTCTGCTCTGGGAGGCAGAGCCACACGTGCAGCACATCCTGTGAAATGAAAATTGCCCCAAATGCTAATTGGGGCCGTGGAAACGCCGCGTGTGACGCTCCCTCCCTGGGATGTGGTGGCAGGAGGAGATCTCAGGCGGCGCCTATCAGAAAGTACTTCCATGGAACATAAAGTGGAAGTTAAGTGAAGGAAATGATAAAGTCAAAATGAAATATTTTTACTTTCCTGAAATGAACTTCGTGTTTTGACATGAGCGGAATAAACATTTTGACACTGCTGAAACAAGAAAGTCAAAGTGATTCTGCGAGGCTTCTTCCCGGGAAAATGGCAGCGAGATCGACAAGTTCCCAGGGAAAGATGTGATTCCAACAAACCCCTGTTTTCTGGTGGAAAACCACTCCAGGGAGTCCTTCAGCCCTGTGCAGAGAACAGGTTTCCAGGTGAGACCAGCACCTGTCTGGCTCCCCTGAACAGTAGCAGGGAAGGCAATCTGCCTTTATTTATATTTTTATTAAATTATTATTTCATTTTGATATTATTATATTAATAAAGGGAGGGATGGGGTGGGATGGATGCACCTCGGGGTTGGATTCTCCACCATCACAGGAGGACTGATGCTAAACCCTCAGTCCATGAATGAGGCACAGGTGTCCAACAGCAGCAGAGTTTGTCCCCTCTTCATGTCCCCCTCTTCAAGGTCACATCGTGTCAAACCAAGGATGTCTCAGTGGGATTAAATTTTCATACTTTTATTTGGAGAAATTTCAAGAGGTTTTTGGTTTCTTTTAGTTGATAACCCAAAGAGTTACATTTTGAAGGGCTGGGGTTTTGCTGAAAACAGATACTTAAGGAATAGTCTCATGTAGCTGATGGCTTCATTTTTCATGTGATACCGGTTGGGTGGGAAATTGCTGACCGACCTTTGGCAGAAAATTTCTGATCAACCTTTGGTGCTCACTCCAGGTATTGGGTTTTGCTCCAGAGCAGCATTTAGGGGGAAATCTGTTCTTTAATAATAGCAATGCATAATAATAGTTTTCAATGCTAATTCTTGGCAGCAATTCCATGTGATTAAACATACCTTTGCTGCACAGAAAATGCTGCATGTCGTGCAACAAGTTCACTCACCCTCTGATCTCCCCTTGTGGCACAGCCACCATGGCCAGGCACGAGGGCAGGGAAACCTGCAGCCCAGCACACTGTCTGCACTCCAACAGGCTGCAGCAGCTCCTCTGGGCTCAGCATCACCCTGGCAGCTCACAGGCACTTGTCACAGCCCCTGTCCCCCAGGCAGAGACCCCCAGTAGCCAAGGGAGGACCTCTGGGCAAGAGACTCAGGGGGTAGAGTTGATTCCTCACACTGGTGTCCCACAGGTGAGGGCATGAGGCTCAGGTCACCAGCAGAGCCATGCCAATCCCTTTGGGAAGCATTTATCAGCAGCTGAGCTCCTTCAGGATCCCCTCCACTTCCCAGGTCTGTATGGAATTGTTTCCCCATGTTCCTGGTGCTGCTGACCTGGAGGCAAACCAGCATCACCCACCTCCCCAGTGCCTGTCACTGGTGACCAAGGACAGGCGAGGGAGGTGACAGAGCAGGAGTGCCTGGGGGAGGGGTGCTGCTGGTGCCACTGGGGAGATTGGTGACAAACCTCAGCCCCAGCACCCCTCCAGGCACTGCATCCCCCAACATCCCTGCAGGATGGCATTCAGGTCAGCCCTGAATTTGGGGGATGGATTCCTCAGTCACAGCTTCTGCAATGCTTCAGCCTCCCTTTGCATGTAGAGGCAGAGCCTCCTCTCCAGGCTGCATGCTAATGAAGCATCCTGGAATCCCTGCGTGGTCGCTTCCTAGTTAGGCTCATCTGCCTGAGTGAACTGAAAACTGTTAAACACATTGAGTGTGTCAGACCAGATATTATCAGAAATAAGACTACCTTTCTCTGGCACCCACAGCTCTCAGACACACAGCAAAGAGATATTTAAATCTTTTCCAGCTGTCTCTCATGTTTCCAGAGAGACTCAGCTCTGACAGGTCTTTTCCCCAGGGTAATATTTGAATTCTGATTTCAGAAAACAGAGGTTCAGATCTACTAGATAATGAGTCTTCAAGAATGACAATGAATGCAGAAGTGTTACCCTATTTTATAACAATTGATAAATCTTAACCTTTTCATATTAGGATCCTTCCCTTCCCTTCCCTTCCCTTCCCTTCCCTTCCCTTCCCTTCCATTCCCTTCCCTTCCCTTCCCTTCCCTTCCCTTCCCTGACAGTATTTTGGTTTTCTCTCTGCTCTCCTGGGCTCCAGGAGTCCCTGCTGCCCTGGCCCCGTTCCTTGCCATCCCCACCAGCACCAGAGTTGTCTTCCAGCACCTTCCACCTCCACAGCCATCCCAGTCGAGCACAGGTGCCCACACCCAGCCAGTTTGGGATCTCCCCCTCTTAACTCTGGCCTTCACAATTGAATTCCCCCCGAAGGGCCGGGCTGCCGGCTCTGTCCCTGCCCAGCGGGCTGGCAGAGCCCCAGCGGCTCCTCCTCGGCGTGGCTGCCTTCCCAGAGCACAGCCTGAGCGCCGCTTCCCGAGGCTGCTGCGGCAGGATCCACGAGTAAAGCCCGGCTGCAGGGCCAGCGTGTTTGAGAGGGGCCATCTGGCCGGGCTCGGCGTCCAAGCCCAATTTGCTGGATGGTTTTGAAGGTCACTGAGCAGGGACTGAAGACGCTTCCATATTTTCTCGTCTAAATTACGGCATTTCCAAGGGAGGGAGCAGGAGCACATGCTGGGAGGAAGGATCTGGAGGTTAATCTCACACTCTGTGCCCAAAAAGGAGGAGAGCAGGACCCAGGAGCAGAGGCAGAGGCACAGACACAAGTGCAGCACACATGGACACTTGCTGACATCCATAGGTTCATGTGTGCCCACTGTGCACACACACAGTGCTCCACGGAGCACTCACACACACCTGCCCTGAGGACAGAGCTCTCCCAGCTGGGACAGGCTCCATCCCCAGCCAGGATATCCTGCTTGTCACCCCCAGGCACCCCTGCTCTGACAAGAGCTGGATTCCCTCTGGAAGCAGAATCAGGCCCCTTCTGGAAGCAGAGCCCTCCTGTCCCTGGGCTCCAAGAGAGCACTTTGTGCCCCACAGCAGCCAGGAGCAGGACAGGAACATCCCAAATCCTTCAAGACCCCAAAAACCCCTCATTCCAAACCTTGCCATGCCTTTCCATGGCCATCCAGCCTTGCCCTACTCTGCACGATCTGGGATGCAGCACCCAGCAGCCATCTGCAGTTCTCAGGACCTTCTCCCAGCCACGCTGACCCCTGCAAGGGGACAGCCAGCCCTGTGGCCACTCAGACAGGACCAAGGCTCCCTCTTGCTTCCCTGGAGAGCCCTGGAGGAGAGCACTGGGCTGCCTCTGCTCCTTGGCACTGGCCAGGTGTCACATTGTGCCAGCCACAGCCAGCCTGTCCTTGGAGAGAAAGGCTCCAGGCAGGGATGGAGCATCTGCAGAAGGCAGCAATGCCACTTTCCATGGTGGGGGAACATGGTGACCCTCAGTGTGCGCCCCTTGGAGAGAAAGGCTCCAGGCAGGGATGGAGCATCTGCAGAAGGCAGCACTGCCACTTTCCATGGTGGGGGAATGTGGTGACCCTCAGTGTGCAGGGTAGGGGAAGATGTGGGGACAATGTGGGCATGGTCAGGGTCCGGCCATTTTCAGGCATTTCCTGGTGACACGTTGCTGCAAGGGGCAGGTCACTGCCACCAGAGGCTCAAACCTGGCTCCTGCAGTGACCCAGGGAGTCCCATCCAGCCACAGCACCACAGCCAGGTGGGTCTGACACCCCCGAGGTGACAGAGAGCTGACAGCACCCCTGTACCAGCCCTGCACAGGACCCAGGACAGCAGAGGTTGGCCAGGGCCCTGCACTCCTGGCATCCTGCAGTGGGTTCATGCCCCATCCCCTGGGCAGCCCTGCTGGGAGGGCAGGAGCTCCTGGCAGGACAGGGCATGGATGGGAGAGTCCTTCCAGAGGCAAGGATGCAGCCAGCGAGGCCATGGCCCCAGGAAACCCCACAGAGGGGACAGACCTGAGCTGGGGACACAGAGGGCTGGGTGTGGGAGGGCTGGGGGTCTGCCAGGGCCTCGGGACCCCTGTGTGGAGCAGAGGGCTGAGTTCCATGGCAGGGACACGTTTCATGGCAGGGACACATTTCATGGCAGGGACACGTTCCATGGCAGGGACAGGCTTCATGGCAAGGATATACTCAATGGCAGGGACAGGCTCCATGGCAGAGACACACTCCATGGCAGGGACACACTCCATGGCAGGGACACATTCCATGGCAGAGACACACTCCATGGCAGAGACACACTCCATGGCAGGGACACGTTCCATGGCAGGGACACGTTCCATGGTAGGGACACACTCCATGGCAGGGACACGTTCCATGGCAGGGACAGCCCTGTGGCCCTTCACCTGCCCTGGTGTGTGCAGCCCAGGCCTGCCTGCTGTTCAGAGAGGGGTTCTCCCCACTGGGGCTGCCTCCAGCTCAGCCAACAGAGCTGAGCCCTGTGCCCCGTGCCCAGCCTGGTCCCAGCCAGGCACCCCGTGCCCACCCGGGCTGCTCTCTGTGCTGAGCCACTCCATCCCCTCCTTCTCCCCATTGCATGGGCAGCCCGTGGGTGCTTTTTGGGAGTTTCTCCTCTGTATCTGCCAGCACTGTGGAACCCAGCCAGAGCTTCAGCAGCAGCGGTGCTGCTGGAGGCATTTCTTACTTCCACACCTCACACCTGGGCTTGAGGCTTTGCTGGGGAGCATCAACTCAACCTGCCAAAGCCCCAGCCTGGGGTCAGCAATGCCCTCCCAAGGGAGCCCACTTTTCCCAGGGGGGCCAAGTGTTGCCACATTTCTCTTCACAGAGAAAAGCAAGGCACAATTCTTCCCAAGGATTTCTGAGATTCACGTTCTCTGGACCTCAGAGAAAGGAAAACCACAATTCTTACCTTATTTGCTGTGCCTGTGTTGTGCCAAAGTAGAATGGAATACGGGGATTGTTGACCCGGAGGGAGGGGGGATTGTTTCCTTGGCCTACCAGGGCCAAGAGTGTGTGTGTGTGTCAGGACAGTCACGAGAGAGTCACGAGATGAGCGCAGCTCTGTGCACTTGTGCGCAGAGTGAGTGCTTGGCAGATTCAGTTTAGATGCAATGTATATAGTACAGAATAATATAACAAGGTAATGAATTAGCCTTCTGATATCCACGGAGTCAGAAGCCTCCTCACCATTGTCTCCCCTGGCCGGGGCCGCCCTTGACTCGACAGCCAGGTGCTCCCTGCAGCGGGGCAGCCCGGCCCGGCCGCAGCCCGGGGAGCGGGCGAGGCTGAGCTCAGCGCAGCCGCTGCCAGAGCCTGCCGGGAAGCCTTCGGCGGCTGCTCCCACCTCCGCAGCCTCGCCCCGCCGGGCAGGACGCGCTCCAGCCCCGGCAAAGGCAGCGGCACAGGGGCTGCGACCCCGCGGGGCTGGGCGAGGGACGGGGCGGCCACAGACTGCGGCTCGGCGCTGTGGAAAACTACAGCTCCCTTTTTATTCCTTCTTTTTTTTTAAAAATAAGGGTGAGGTGGGTTTGTTTTTTTCCCTTGTTTGTGCAGGTATTTGTCAGAGGATATTTTTAAACGAGCTGAAGTCAAGCAGCGCGGGATCCGAACGGCCTGTGCTGCAGCATTCCTGCGGCTCTGGCCAGCGGGGACCCGCCGCTGACCCGGCCGGAGAGGTCGGCCAGCCAGGACGTGCCGTTCCCGGCCTCTGCCCACGGGGAGGAGGAAACTCGGAGCTGTCCAAGAGTGCCGGAGGAGAGCTCGGCTCCCCGGTGCTCCCTGCAGTATCCCTGCTCAGGCCGCCGCTCCCGGGACGGCCCCACAGGCCCCAGGGCCGGCCTGGCCCCGGCCCGCCTCAGAGCTGAGCCCCGGCCCGCCTCAGAGCTCAGCCCTGCCCAGCACCAGCTCTTCTCTGCACGGCTTTGCCAACAGCCTGGCCCTCCCCACAGGCCCCAGGGCCGGCCTGGCCCCGGCCCGCCTCAGAGCCCAGCCCTGCCCAGCACCAGCTCCTCTACCCGGCTCTGCCAACAGCCCGGCCCGCCTCAGAGCCCAGCCCTGCCCAGCACCAGCTCCTCTCTGCACGGCTTTGCCAACAGCCCGGCCCAAGGGACGCGGTGGATGCGGTCACCTGCTCCCGGACAGCGTTGTGGGGAGGGGACAGCCGGGTCACTTCTGCTACTTGCTTTTTGCTTCCAGCAGTTCAGACCCTCTGCCATCCCCAGCCCCTCCTCTCCTGCCTGCCTCAGTTTCCCCTAAGCCTGGTGGAGTTTACAAGAGTGCAGGGCCATGGTAAGGTGGCTCTGCCCTTGTGCAGGAGCCCAGGCTCCTCCTCACTCCAGCCTGCAGCAGCCCATGCACCTTGGATTGCACCATTGCTCTGTGCAATGCCCCGGTGGATCCCTGGCACACACAGAGATGTGCCCTGAGCATCTCAGCCCAGGGATGGGTCAGGAGGATCCAGGATTCCTGACCCAGCCTCTGGGAAGTGCTGCCTCCAGCCAGACTGGGATGGAATCCTTCTTGTTGGATTTGAGCCCGTGTTCCTCTCTCCACCCGCCCTTCTCCCACGCACGGGGCTGGTGGCCAGCTAATTCTGGGGTTATGGGCTGCAGCCAAGGGCCAGGGAATGTGGGTGCCATGGTCACCACGTCCTGCCCTGCCTGGGGCTCCTTCCAGGGGTGTAACCATGGGGAAACCCTTCCTGGCTTGGGAGGGTGATGGAGTCACTGCCCTGCTGAGGTGGTTAGGATCATCCTAGAGTGACAGCACAGGGGAGCGGCTTCCAGCTGACACAGTAGGTTTAGATGGGATATTGGGAGGAAACTCTTCATTGTGAGGGTGGGGAGGCCCTGGCACAGCATGCCCAGAGAAGCTGTGGCTGCTCCATCCCTGGAAGTGTCCAAGGCCAGGTTGGATGGGACTTGGAGCAACTTGATTTATTGGAAGGTGTCCCTGCCCATGGCAGGGGGTTGGGGATCCCTTTCAACCCAAACGAGTCTGATATTACGTGATTCCATGAACTCTTTAAGTACCAATGAGTGTGGGGTGAACTGTTTCTGTGCAGGGAAAATCTGGATTGAAACACTGCAGCACCACTGCCCCAGGATAAAGAGGGAGGAACTGGACTGCTGTGGACAAACTGGCTCAGCAGTTGAGATGGGAAGCTGGCAGGGAAAGCACATGCCAGAACCCCTGCCCCAGCATCCCCCTCAGCCTTTCCTGCCCTCTCCAGCACCTGGCAGGTGATCTTGCCCTGGATTCCCTCTGGAAGCAGAATCAGGCCCCTTCTGGAAGCAGAGCCCTCTTGTCCCTGGGCTCCAAGAGAGCACTTTGTGCCCCACAGCAGCCAGGAGCAGGACAGGACATCCCAAATCCTGCCAGACCACTCATTCCAAACCTTGCCATGCCTTTCCACAGCAGGGCAACATCCCCACTCCTACTCCTGACAGCAAACGGGCTGAACCACATCCTGTGCCTCCACCCCAACACCCACATGCTCCCTGATTTGTGTCAGACAGCTTCAGGATGGGAATCCACAGGAAAATCCTTCTCTGTGACCAGGGTTGCTGTGAGCTGTGTCCTCACTCAGGGGAAGCAGCCAGGGCTCAGGCACAGGCAGCTCCCAGCTGGTGCCAAGAGGTCACTCATCCTGTCAGGGGAGAACCACAGAATCATTAAGGCTGGAAAAGACCTCCAAGACCATCAAGTGCCACCATGCCCACTGAACCATGTGACAAAGTGCCACGTCTGCTGGGTTTTTGAGCTCTTCCAGGGATGGTGACTCCACCCTGGTCATCCTGTGCTAGCTCCTGACCACTCTTTCAGTGGAGAAACTTTTCCTAATATCCAACCTGACTGTCCTCTGGCATAACCTGAGAACTGCCACGTTTCTCTCACAAAAGGCAAAGCAAAACCCCACAAATTTCCCTATTCTCTCAATAGGATGGACCTGACAGAGCCAGTGCAGCCTTATTTGGGGTTCGTGGCCCAGCCAAGGAGGAACCCCACACCACAGGCACTGTTGTCTTCCCTTGCAATGCGTTTCACAGCTCTGTGGTGTTCCTACAGCAGGACCTGCCCCACTCCCAGGGGATCCCAGGAACTGATGGATCCAAATGGTGAGCGCTGGGAACAACATGTCCTGCAGGTCCTCTGCTGCATGGTCTGAGGGCTCCAGAGACTCAGAGGGCTCTGAAGGAGAGCAGTGGGGATCTCCACAGGTATCCACAGGCCTTTGGCAGGTGTAGAGCACCAGAGGCAGGCACCAAGGGGTTGTACCTGCTGCAGGTGGCATCCAAACCCCAGACAGGGACAGTAAGAGCCCTGTGCTGTGCTCCACCCTGCAGAGCTCTGCAC